TTTTTTGGTCAGAAGTTCTTTTCAGACTAATGACCAACCAGGCACTTTTAAATGCGCTCGTGCACGATGCAAAACGTGTCCTTTCATTCACAACACTAATAGAATATCGGGAGCTAAATGATCCATTAAGATCACCGATCACTTCACGTGCTCCTCCGCCAATGTAATCTATTGCATAACTTGCACTTATCGCAAAAAGATCTACATCGGCGAAACAGGCAGAAGACTAGGTGACAGATTCCGAGAACACCTTCGCGACGTGGAGAGGAATGACAAGGACACATCGAAACCAGTCGCTAGACATTTTCAGTTTACCTAATCATTCTAAGCAACATATGGCAATCTGCGGTCTTTCCTTACACTTAGGTAGCACGGAAAGCCGTAAAAATCTTGAGCAAAAGCTCATCTTTCAAACCGGCATTCTAAATCCCACAGGCATCAACGAACGCTTTTCATTCCACTAATTTATTCGTGTTTCTCTCGTGGCCATGTTCCCACCAATAACGTAGCTCCATTTTCTGCCTTTAAAAGTACACACAACCCACAATTCCTCTATTCGCTCCGACGAAGGGCTAACGCTCGAAACGTCAGCTTTTATAATCGTAACGGTAGCCAATTTACCATTTCAACTTTGATGATATATTCAAATTATCTGTTTATATACGACGCGTATGGTGTTAGATGTTAACCCTTTACAGCCAAGCATCAGAATGCATATTCTCTATACTGTTCTCTAAACACTTCCTAAGGTGCTGACAAGGAGAATTTGTTTGACAATCAAGAGCTGTTTTAGTTCATGATCATTTCGTTTATTCTCATGACCTTAAAGTTTGATTCAACAGTGATACTATAAGAAAAAGGATGCTAGATTTTTAGGGCTACTAAATTTAATGTTAATATAAATAAGGAAAGGTTAATAGAGTTAAAGAGTTGAAGGAGTTTAGTCTCTCAGATCTGTGGAAAATTTTAAACTCGGTTTTTTGTGCCACAAGAGCAAGATCATCAGAAACAACAACAACACAAAAAAAAACAAAGTTTACAGAATGACCGCTGATTACTGGCGCTGCATGCGATGAAACACGCACCTGGCACAAAATGAAGGGTAGACTGGGAGACTACGAGTTACGAGCCCGGAGCTGTGGGAGTGAGGCGCTCGAAAAGTTGGTGCGCCTCACTCCCACAGTTCTAAGCACCACGCTAACATCTTGGAAACATTTGCAATCAAAGGCAAGCGCGAGAAACGCGAGGAGAGCAAGAATTAGCCTTTCATGTAACTGCTTTAAAAATTTGTCTTGGGTTCAAATGTGTTAGAACCCAATGCATTACTCTGTAAAGCAAGAGAGAACCTAAAATATTTTTGTGCGCCTTTCCACGAGTAAAAACAAATTTTGCCTCATAAACTATACGGCAAAGAGCATAATATCGAAGACAAATCTGCACGCGCGCAACGCAAGGCCTGACGGTCTTTGCTGTAATCCACACGTAACAATTATAATAAAGTCATTGTTTGACGTTCGAAGGTTCAAACTGACACTTCGCACTACAAGTGAGATTTGTTAGCGTGCTGAATTGAGCCAGTGGGGAACAGAGATATTTTTGCATATTGCAAGCATTGTAATTGTGGTTGCTACGTGTGGGTAAGAAGGAGCAGAGTTACACTGCACGAACGCTTTAATGGCTCGGGTTGATTGAAGCTGTTTCAAATGGGTGTTGAAAATAATCGGCGATTACACGGTTTTACTGCGTAAAGTATATACTCCTTTAGTTCCCCCCTTAGACCATGGGCCATCGACGATCTTTCTCCTCCACCTTGTCCTGTTCTGGGCTGGTCATTCGAGTGTGGTCCAAGGGGGTGGTTCCAATTCTTTACCTCAGCCTGAACACCTGGCCGCTAGGTGTTTTATGAGCGTCGTCGTTTCCGTTTCTGACGGTGTGTCTTTTTTTTTTAAACAGGGTACACTTGAAATGATTGAGGTCGAGAATGTTGACTTCCTCTTGCCAAAATGGTTCCCTTCCGCCAGTCTTCGAGCTGTGGAAAAACGCGCAGAAGACCTTCAATGCCAAGTCTTGGGAAGAATTCGACGATTCAAAGATTTTGCGAAAAGACACCCAGTAATTGCGATGTTCTTGGCTTTTGTATCATTCCTTGGTTTCTTTCCAATCTTCCTTTTCCTGACGTTTCTTTCCGTCTCGCTCATCGTCATCTTCACCACTGCATCAGCAGTATTCCTTGGAGTAATCTTTGTGTCTACGATCCCTTTCCTTTCAGTTCTGATCTCCGTTCTCGCCGTCGTAGGCACTACAGTCTTGTTTATCTACTTTGCATGCCGTTCTTCCGTTAAGATACTCCAAGTTTTACCGCGATGGAAAAAAATGGTGTTGCTTCTACCGTCACAACTTGTTGGGGTTTGGTTTAGAAAATGCCCATCCGTTTCAGAAAGATTTGATTTCTACGACGACTTTGTTCCCACGGACGAAGAATTATTTGACGAAGAATTTTATTATGGCTCAGATTCTGAATGATTTTCGTAAATAACGGTTTTTAATGTCTCGTAGTTTTAGATAGATATTATTGCTTTCCGTGTAACGCGTTGACCTACAGGCGTTCTAATTTCTCGTTAGACAAAAAAAATCTAAAAACGGTTTTAAAGACAAATAAGAAAAAAAATATAAAATTAACAATAATTTTCTGACAATTGATTCAAATATCTTTAAATATCAATCACATATTAACAGTACTATTTTCAACACAGTCAAAGATGTTTCATGTCTGATAGACTTAAGTAAAATTTATCACTGAATTCCAAAATTCTTAAAAAAAAGAAATGAAAACAAAAAGCAGATTTACAAATTTGTCAAAAGCTGAAATTGCACCATGAGGTTACTCACTCTTTCATGTACATTTGGATGCACGAAGAACAGTTGAAAGAAAGAAATTTGTTCTAACCAAAGTCTTTAAATTGTTTACTGTATGATGTTGAATAAAAATTTGCAGTTTACGAGTACTGCAATTTTCTATTTACTTTTCCATAACCTGCTACAAGTTCTCAGTCTGAAGAGACAAATTTAAGAGCAGACGAGAAATAGCGACTGCAGAGAAACGGCTAGGTAACCCCACTTGTTTTTCGCGGGCTCATTTGTTGGCTCGAGCACTGGGTACAAGGTTACTTAATTATTTCTGAAAGCATTAACTTCATAAATCCTACGCTTGGAAGAAATAATGCTCGGTGTGCGTGAGAAATAACAAAGACACTGTTAGTGACAGAAAACAAAATGCATGCTAACTGAATGAGGTCTGTGACCATCTTACCTTCGTTATGAGGCTGTCCACCAACATATCATACTCAATAACATATTGCTTCAGCTGCTGAAAATATAACAGGTCCTGCAAACAAAATTAAACACGTATATGTGCACGATCCTTCGCAGTAAAGCACTATTTAAGCAATAGTGAAAATCAGACCTGAAAAAAAATTCAGGCCTGTACGGGATACGAACCACTGACCTCTGCGATACTAGTGCAGCGCTCTACCAATTGAGCTAACAAGCCAACTGGGAGCAGGCCATCAAATTAATTCGACATAAACCCGTAAGATGATAAATCAAACAACAAACATATGAAATACATATATATGAACTGCGGTTGTGAAACGTATATGTGCACGATCCTTCGCAGTAAAGCACTATTTAAGCAATAGTGAAAATCAGACCTGAAAAAAATTCAGGCCTGTACGGGATAATGCTAATGCCCGTACAGCTAATGTCTAATAAGCTAATGCCCGTACATGCCTGAATTTTTGTCAGGTCTGATTTTCACTATTGCTTAAATAGTGCTTTACTGCGAAGGATCGTGCACATATACGTTTCATAACCGCAGTTCATATATATGTATTTCATATGTTTGTTGTTTAAAATTAAACACATTAAAAAGACAAAAACAAAAACAAACAAGTGAAATAATACTAAGGCTATGAGGAACATGATGGCCTTAAGATTAGCACGTAGTGTACTGGGGTTCAGATCAAAAGCTTCACACAGTCGAACCCGTATTAGGCGGCACCGTATTAAGCGTCACCCTGTATAAAGCGGTTGGTTTTCAAAAAGAACAAAGAAAAATATCAATTAACTTAAGGAACTATTAGTTGATCCAATAACAAATTCTCTGAACTAAAATCATATGCATTGTAGGGCAGACACGGTAAGGAAAATGAGAGCATGGAAGTGACATACCACATCATCAACCTCCAGACCCAGTATAAGACACCAAAGTTCCCTCCTCAGCCCCGTGGGGCAGCCATGTTTGGCATACTGTCTGGCAATTGGAGCACTTCCATGTTGAATTACTGTTGAAAACCCAGTGTTGAAGATTACCTTTCTGTAATAATTTTCTGCTGAGTGGCTAGGTTACGGTACATGTGGTTTCAAAAACTACCAGTGTTGAAGATTACCTTTCATGAAGTAATGATTTTCTGCTGTGTGGCAGTGTTATAGTAAACTATATGGTTTTAAGGCTATGACGTTGCATCTGCACATAAAACTTGAGCTTGTATAGCTACACTTGTCTAGAGCTTGTGCAGAACTCTAAATGATCACGTGTTAGTCTGTTTGATGTTATGGAACTGGCTGATAGTCAAAAGGGAAGTAATGGCAACAATAATTGGTCTGGAGAAATGTTGATCAAACTGACTCAAAGTTTTCCAAGTTTTTAAATCTTTCAGTCCTAATTTTCTGTTCATCGATTCTTTTCGTGTATGTGATGAAGATTGCAAACATAAATTTGAAAGACATCTCGAAAGAGGCGTTGCTTGCGTCTTAATTGTCATACCATCATTTTGCTAACAAGAAGATGGTCCTACGTCTGTCTTACAAGAGTGCATGTAATGACAAAGTTAATGACTCTGATTTGATGAAGACCCGGATGAAGATGAAGCTTATAGATAACTCAGTTGACTTATTATCGCAAATTGGTAAAAATCAGTGGCAGGAATGCCTGGAAATGTTTGAAGCTTGGTGAATAAACCCGTATAATTCAACAGAAAATGATTCCAAACCTTTCCTTCCAATCTTATTCCAATCAGTTGCGAATGAATCTAGGTGACAAATCATTACAAGGAAAAGGTAGGTTAGAATGATTTGCTCTAACTATTTCTACCCTAACAACAGTATGCATATTCTCCATACTGATCTCTTTACATTTCCTATGGTGCTGAGAAGGAGAATTTGTTTCACGATCAAGAGCTTCCTTAGTTGGTGATCATGTTCCTTTAAGTCTTGTGATTCAGGGGTGATGTTGTAGGAGAAACTAGAGAATATTCACTTCAAATTGTAGCTAGGAAGTGAGAGGAATGATAGGAAAAGGGCTGAGGATAGGTAGAAAATGAAATTTGGGGGCGGAGAGAATGATGACGAGTTTGGGAAATCAGAGTGTAAGAGTCGGATGGAAAGGGGAAAGGAAAGGGAGGAGAGGGTACAAATCCAAAAATTTAAAACAACATTTACCACACGAGGTGCTTTCAAGGAGGGCATCATCCACCCCACTGTGAGAATTTCCTGGGTCCAATTCTTTAAAAAGAATTTTCTGGCAAAAAAATACACAATTAAACCATACAGTTACTCACGAAAAATGAATACAATGTTATCCCAATCAACATAGGATTGTTTTAAAGTGACTGCTAGTCCTTTCTATGAACAACTGGCCCCATACAAAAAGAACAAAGCTGACGGAAGAAAATGTACAACCTTCTATGGATGGCAAAGACTAGCAAAAAGATTAACAACTGAATGACGTTGATGATAAGTTGGAAGACCATACCATATCTTGAAGGGATTTTGTATACAGTTGAATCTTCATTAAACCCCATCCTTTGATTAAGCTGTAGTTACAAAATAAAGGTCAAATTATTTACTATCAAGAACAAATTCAAAATCCAAACACTCGTTTATTATGGGTTACAGTATCCAAGACATGGAGTTAATTGACTATATTTTGCAAAGTAAAGTATTTAAACCACATTGACACATTAACACACCGATTTCCAGATTTTTAAATAGCAGTGCCAAATACATTACAAAGTCATGATTCCACATGAATTTAGTACTCTTACATGTAAGGCTTTCATCAAACAAAGCTATGATGGTCAGGGGTGTCCACAACCAATTTTAATATCAAATTTATACTGTTACTGTAACTATTTCAGAATTTTAAAGTTTCATATCAAAATTTTTAACATCAAGCACAGCATTTATTCAATGAGCCTTGAGTATGAGCATTAAATTTGGGAATGCTTGTAAATTTAAGAAACCTACACCTGTAGATAAGTTTGAAAATTGAATAATATTTTTCACTCAATAACATGTAACATACGTGCACTAATGGTACAGCATAATGTCAGTCTATAGCTCAGCACTCCAATTCAAGTCCTTCATACCTTGGGGTCTTGCGAAGTGGTGTAAAGCTTGGATTTTCAATGCTGATAAGGGCCTGGAAGGCAGAACCATTGTTTAGTAATAAAAAGTGCACAAAGTTGCTTACAATGCTCAACAAAATTTTTTTATAGTATCATTGGAAATGTGATGACCCTGGCATTAGGTGTATGAAATTCTTGAAAAGCTTTGCAAATCAACCTTGTTTGCAAACTTAATACCACATACCTATTCACACAAGTGGATTAGAACTTTTAGAATTTGTAAGACTCTTGTTAAAGGATCTTGCAAGACCTTACAAGATCTTTTTAGAATCTTGTGATTATAATCTAGAAGATCTTGTAGATCTATAAGGCTCTTGAATAAATGTTGTGATAGTCTTGTAAATATATCATACGGTGTGGGATCTTACAAGATCTTGTAAGATTCTAGACAAAGAATCTCTGTAAGAATCCTAGGAGGAATCTATTAAGAATCTTAATAATATCTTAATAAGATTTCTGCCTGGATATACCTCATCCTTATTCACCCATGACCTCACCTCAAAAAAGTCCTTTGGAGCATAGACTGGTTTGATCTTTTCCATTTCTGCAGACAAAAGAGAAATACGTATCAACTTAAAATAGCCACATGTAGAGTCACAGAGCATGTTTGACATTATAATTTGGATATATCAACAAAGTTGAAATGGTAAATTGGCCACTGTAACGATTGCAAAAGCTGATGTTTCAAGCGTTAGCCCTTCGTTGGAGTGAATGGAGGAAATGTGGGTTGTGTGTGCTTTTAAAGGCAGAAAATAGAGCTATGTTATTGGTGGGAACATGGCAATGAGAAAAACGCTAACAAATGTTTGACATTACTCTGCATTGAAGTTGGATTACAATATAGAGCACCTAAATCTTTAATTCTGTTGACTACTTCATACAACAAACATTACCAATGCAAAAAATGAACTTACTCAGGCCTTCCCAATCAACTTACGTTTTTCATCCAGTTCACCACCTAAAACTTCAAACTTTGATGAAATGACACTCTGGTCTGCTGCTGACCTCTGAAGGAAAAGAAAAATCTTCCAATGGCTACATGTATTTTGAAGCATAAAGTCAGGCAATAAGGGTTCACAAAAGACTCTTCAATGTATCTGATATACTACTAACATCTTTTATCTTGATCATTATATAGGGCTCGACACTAACAGTGGTGAACTAGCCACATACTAGTAGAAATTCATTTTTACCTAGTGGATTTTGACTCCCACTAGCAAGTTTGACTAGTAAACAAACTGAAATTGTTGTAACATCTAAGTTGTCACTAGCTACTTGGCTAGTAAGTTGGAAAGTTAGAGATGAGCCCTGTTATATTGTAGTGAAGGGCAACATCACAAACTCTTAGACCAGTAACATAGTTTCTTTGGCCATCACATGGTACCCACAGCAGAGTTCAAGCAAAGTCCAAGCAAGAAAACAGATTACACTTCGATTTAATGAGTTTCTGACCCTTATATAATATACTTCATTCAGCTCTAGATATGACAACATTTTGCATCATAGAAACCTCTAAGTATGTTAACTGTGAAATTTTAGCTCAAGGCAGTTTATACTTTACTTTTCTTGCCAGAGGAAGCGATAGCTCCGTGCACATGCTGTTAATACTCTTAACAATCCTCTTCTCCCAGTTCATCTATAAAAAAAAAATGATATTTATACAAAGTATCACAAGGTAAATTTAATATAAAATTCTAAACATGTGCATGTACATGTAGGTCATCTAAAGATTGCACATCCAATAAATACTCAGCAATACTAAACTCCAAAATGTCTAATTAACAATTATTCTTTGAAATCGAGGTGAATAGTGGCTAAATATTTACCGAGCCGCAAAATGGTGAGGTAAATATTCTCGAAACCCAGTATTCACCGAGATTGAAAAGAATAATTGTTTTAGTATATACACACGAAGTGATCTCAACAAAATTAAAAGGAAGCCATTTAAAGGCAATTTCTGCTTCTGAAACTTTAGCAAAACGCGAGTTTATGCCCGCTATTTTTTTTTTTTACTGTAACATTATCCACTCGTTTGGAGGTGTACATTGTTGATTAGCCCGAGATAGTGAACCAATCAGTTTGACTGAAACGCCAAGATCACTGAGTGTGTATATACTAATAAAATATATTTATTCCTAAGCCCTTAATCCGACTAGTTTTTCCAAGTTGACTTCAAATTCCAGGCTCAGCATTTGCTGGAGCTATGAAATACTGTGTTGTATACATTGTAGCATTCTGTCTACTGTACAGTAGTGAAAAATAGCAGACAGCTTTTAACTCATTGAATAGATCCTAAATGTGTAACCTTAACCAAGAACATACATTTCTTCATAAAATGACAAAGGGGTAAGATAAGGATAAAGTCAGGTGCAGGATCATTGAAAACAGCTTGCTTTCTCTGGATACAAAAGTGGGTTTGCAAGTAAGCATTAGTTCAGTTGTCCAGCTACCCTGCAGTTTCAACTAGTTATCAAATGTGTCAAGAAAATAAAATTTCTCAGTTTCCCCAAACACAGCTACCTTCAGAGTTAATTCCATGTTAATTCTCAAAAAAAAAACAAAAAAAAAAACTATATATATATATACCTGTGCCTTACGAATAAATGCTAATGGTTCCTTTACTTGGTTCTGGGGAATGCCTTGTGCTGAGGACATTGGTAAACTACAAAGAAATGTAATTTCCAAATTTTATTACATCTACTTAACAAAAAGTGCATTATTTCACTTAAGACTACTATGTATCAAGAGGGCTCAATAACAATCTAGCCTAAACTGAAGCCAACAGCTGGACATTTTTGCTTGTGTCAATAATGCCAGCCTCACTAAGTTACCAAAAAAGGAAAACAAAAAGAAACCTTTTCTACTTTATGTAAAGACAATCATAAAACAAGTGGAAAGCAACCCTAAAATCTTCCAAGCCATTAGCATTGGATTGATTCCACTTTTTAGAGAGAAAAAGTTTTGCAATAATTATGTTCAGCTGTCATTTTCTAAATTCAATTTGGCAGTCCAATTATTGCTTTGACCTATTTTTCATAGAAGTAACTACAGTGCGACATTGTTTGTCTTCACCACAAAAGCAGCACAGAAGTTCCTTTTCTATGCAAACTTGCATTTTTATTTATATCAGTAGCAATAGAGCAGGGGTTTAAAAATGTTTTGAAGAAGGCAGCCGACTCTGGAAAAGTAGGCGTCTGTGATAATCGAGATTGTTTGTCATAAGCAGACTGTTATGACCAGAGTAGCTGATGACATACAATCAAGTAGCCTGCGGAACTCTGGTGGTCGCCGGCTTGTTTTGAAACCACTGCAGAGTCTGTCTTCCTCACCTCTTTAGCTGAAAGTAGACTGCATTCTGTAGCTTGACCTCCCATCCCGAGTCTCTCAAGTAATTTTGAATGCTCTCTTTCATGTCTGTCACATGAATGTGAGGTTTTGCAACTTCTTTCTGTGCCATCATCAAATCAAATCAAGAATCAGTTAAATATCAGTCAGGCTGAATTTTTAAGCACGTTACAACATCTTGACTGAGAATTGGAGAAGGAAAACATGCTAGAACTCCTTCAATCAGTGATTTTAATGAATTTTTCCATAACTGGCTGCCAACGGTGTTATAGGTGGAAAGGGAGAAGTGGGGTAAGGGACCCAAACAGCAGAGGTTGCTAGAAGGCCACATAGACGGCGCTTATATAACCGCTGCCCAGTTAGCTCAATGGATAGCGCGCTGGACTGTTGTGTGGGAGGTCGAGGGTTCAAGCCCCGGCCAGACCAACACTCAAGGTCTTGAAATAATTGAGAAGAATTTGCTACCTTTCTATAACATCAAGAAATGGTTAGATATTCTAGTCTTCTCAAATAGGGATGAATAAATGGAGGTCCCGTCTCCTGTAGGGTTGGGGTAGGAGACGTTAATTTCCCACACATGAGATTACTGTGTGATGGATGTCCTCCCCTGGGGTGGGATGGGTGGGAAGGTGAGATCGATACGGACTGAAGCGGCTGCCAGAGGCNGGCCTGCTCCCAGTTGGCTTGTTAGCTCAATTGGTAGAGCGCTGCACTAGTATCGCACAGGTCAGTGGTTCGAATCCCGTACAGGCCTGATTTTTTTCAGGTCTGATTTTCGCTATTGCTTAAATAGTGCTATCTACTGTGAGGATCGTGCATCATATGAATATTAACTTATATTGCGCTAATATCAATATTCATTTTCATCAGCGCAGAAACTAAAATGTTACAAAAATCTAACTGAAAAAAAAGCAACAAATAGAAAAAGAAAAAATGTTGTAATGAAATAATATATATGCTAAACATGTGTCAATAAAATATCTAAAAATGTATCATGAATAATGTAGTTTAAGTACAAAAAAATATATAATCTAATCTAATGTACTTCGATATTTAACAACTAAAAGCTTCTTTAAATAAATACGTCTTTAAATATTTTTTTGAAAAGATTCAACGATTTTGAATTTCTAATATAATATGGAACAATATTCCAAAGTTTTGGTGCGGCTGTTTGAAAAGATCGGTAACCGAGTGTGGAGACATCTTCCCTTTTGGTAATTCCAGTAATAGATCATCATTACAAGATCGTAATCTGTACCTTCCAGGGGTCTTTAACTTAATTACTTCTAGTATATAATTAGGGGCAAGCCCATGAACAGCCTTATTCGTGATCAGAAGGATCTTAGATAAAATACGTTGACGAATGGGTAGCCAGTGAAGTTTAAAAAGTAATGGAGTAATGTGACAATATTTACTAACCATGAATATCAACCTTGCCGCAGCACTTTGCACTCTTTGTAACTTATTGATTTGATAATCTGGCAGCTCAAAATATAAACTATTGCAGTAGTCGATACGACTATAAATTAATAATGAATTAAAAAATTTCAAATCGATTCTTGTGTTAAATATTTCCTTATTCTACCTTAATTATATAGGTGAAAAGCTGTACTACAGGTTTTATTTATATGAGTGTTCATTGTTAGTGATGGGTCTAGTCACACCCCTAAGTTCTTAACTACTTTACTTGGTGTAATCTGGTCGTTTCCAACACTGAGGTGCGTAGTTTTTACTTTGGCTAGTTATTGTTTTGTGCCAATAAGTATCAGCTCAGTTTTATCAGAATTCAATTTAAGTTTGACATCTTTCATCCAATTGTGGATATCATTTATACATTTTTCAATGTTCGCCATGGCTTATACCTCGCCAGTTTCTTTCTTTGGACTAAAAGACATGTACAATTGAGTGTCGTCAGCGTAGCACATTACAGTCGGTAGGTGTGGGTTGATGATCTCAAGTAGCTCTCCAGCGTAAATTGTAAATAACAGTGGGCCAAGATAACTCCACTGTGTCAAACCAAATTCCAAACTAAATGATCGCGATTCGACACCATTGACAGTAACACGTTGGGATCTATTTTGTAGGTACGATTTGAACCATTGTAGAGCGGCATCTGAGATTCCGCATCTGGTGTTAAGACAATCAATTAACACTTTATGATCTATTGTGTCAAATGCGGCACTCAAGTGTAGTAGTATTAACAGGGTCACATGTTGTTTGTTTGTATTCACATGAAGATCGTTTTTCACTTTCAATAGAAGTGTTTCTGTGCTGTAATTCTTTCGGTAAGCACATTGCTGATCCGGATAGATGTTGTGGACGCAAAGATGGTTTTGTACTTGGTTGAAAACAGCTTTTTCAACCAGCTTTGACAAAAACGACAAGTTACCAACTGGTCTAAAAATTTTGAAATATGTTGATGTCGGCGCCAGGCTTCTTCAATAACGGAGTAACTAGAGCCTCCTTCCATACTCTAGGTACTCACGTACGTATTTTCATTTTGAACGAGCCCTATGAGCTCCTTGACGCTACGTGGGTAAATAAAGTATTGATTGATTGATTGATTGATTGATTAAAACCCCAGTCCTAAGGGACTTGTTAATTAACAGTGTGATTACGGGTAGAAGCTCATCACATTTCGCAATTAGCTTTGATGGCATTGGGTCCAATGGACAAGATTTCCTGGATGAGTGTTGTATGAGGGCTTTGACATCCTCCTTTGTGAGATCTTTAAACTCCCTCATAATAACATCAGGTGGAAGAAGAGGAGAAGCAGGTCTAGATTGAACGGAAACCTCTTCAGCATCAAGACGACTTCGGATTTCGGATATCTTTTTAACAAAGAAAGATCCCAAGTCGTTAACAAAACATGAAGCATCAATAGAAGTTGGCTTTTTCAGCAATGAACTTGCAGCACGAAATAATTTACCCTGGTTGTAACTATTTTCAGCAATGAAATCCGTGTAGAAATCAGCTCGTGCTTTATCCATTAATGCAGTTCAATG